CTTTTATACAGATGCCTAAATGGGAATGTAGGTGCCTAATTTTAAAGATGTACAAGTTTGCGAATTTTGGCCAACAGCGTATTTTTAGTAGATACACTGGAGTCTACTAAAGAGGAGAGGGAACTTCACTACCAGCATTACATTTTCACTGAGACATGAAGAGAAAGAGACTTTGTGTAAATTAAATGAGGCCAGATCTTATGTCAGTGTAAGTCAGCCTAGTACCACTGAGGTCACTTGAGCTAACCCATTTTATACCAGCCACCAAAGTGTGTAGATCAAAGAAGCTCTGAGATATATAGTATTGTTTCATGGTGTTTCACAGGGCTTCACCCATTCAGGTTTTGGCTCATGATATATGGTACGGGTGGGCAACTGGCCGTATCCAGTACACCAGATCATTTTATTTGTCCCACCCACAGCAGGGTTGCAGCCTCAGAATTTAAGATTGAGTCAGGTTGCTGAGAGGTGCAATCTTTTAATAAAACTGCTGGTGCCTCTGTTTGGCTCCATTTACCAATCAACGCAGACTCCAGTGCCACCCCACACCACCCTGCTCCACTTACTGTCCCCTATTGTCTAATTGCTTGGGAACTGAGAGCTAATCAGATTCTGGCCAGGCTCTCTTAACAAAGGGCTAGGGCAGGGCACACCTCTGCCAACAGGGAGGAAATACCCAGAGCTGAGTGGCATGGGATGAAGCTGGAGCCTGTGTTGATGGGGAACAGAGCACAGCCCAGGACTAGGCATAGGCGCCCATGTGCCAGGTCACAATGGCACTCATTGGCCCAACCACCTCTCCATCACTTACACAGGGGAGGGGCTCTGTCCCATGCCTCCCGACTTTGGTTACTGCCTTCCCATTGGATCTCATCTGCCACAGACAATCTGACTATGGCCAGCCCCAGTCTGCCTCCCCCCCCCCCCACACACCTCCCTCAGCCATAGGTGGGTTCAATGGGGAGGCAATAACCAGAGTTGGGTAATATCAGATTCTCTTCCCTGCTGGCATGATGAAGGGGTGGGGCTGGGTCAAATTTGAATGTCTTTTTTGATCCAGCGCATGGGCTCCTGCTCCCAGGGTGGAGCCCAAGTCCATGGGGAATAGGGTGACAAGATATCCCAATTTTATAGGGACAGTCCAGATATTTGGGGCTTTCTCTTACATAGGTGCCTTTTACCCCCCACCCTCTGTCCCGATTTTTCACACTTGTTATCTGGTCACCCTAATGGGGAAGCAGAGCGGAGGCAGACTAAGAGCAACAAAGACAAAAACATCTTTCATAGTTATTTTTTGTTATTTTCATTTACTAAGGGGCTGTCCATAAATGACATAACATCTTTTCTAGTCATTTTTCGAGACCTTCCTCTGACTCTTGTAACACTGAAACAAACATGAAAATTAAGGATCCACCCTTAATGTGTGACATAATTAATGGACAACCTCTAATCCCCTGCTCTTCTGCACACTGAAAAAAAAGATTCATGAAAGATTTGTTTAAACTTTTTTGTAGTTAATTAAAGGTTGAGCTATAAGGGGCTTTTATATTTAAAAACACTTCAGTTTTTACACTCTTAGTACATAGTTATTTGTATGGTCAACATGCTATATGTAGCAAACATTTCTGAGTTATGCAATATGTAGCCTAAAAACAAAGGGTTTTAGTGGTCCTCTGCTACCTTAAAGTTGCTCATCCCTGATGTATTGTGTGAATGCACTACTTAAAGATCAATATACAAAGCCTCTCTCACAGGAATATTAATAGCCTGATGAACTCACAAGAGCAAGGAAATTCAATTAAGATTTAACCCTTGCCTTTGTGGCTAACTATGCTCTTCGCTCATAAGCACTGCCTACCTTGCATAAATATTATACCTGATTTTTATGACATCGGGCATTTATGCAGTAAAATGGCAAACACAATCCTACTGGATCTCCTCCTGCCCCCATCTCATCTGCTGTCCTCACACATCCTCTCCTTTAACCACCAACTCCTCACTTTTCTTGTCAAGCAGGGCCAACTCAGTGCACCATGTCACCACAGACGCTATGGACACAGATGGCTCCAGCCACACCGAGCAGATTGAAAGCCAAGGGGTAGTTTGAAAGATGAAGAGTTACGTAAATACAGTAGGTGACATGATGACAACACTAAGCATTGGAACCCCTAGGATAATGCCGTTATGTCAAACAGACCATACGTCTTGACTTTGAATTACAAAAACAGCAGGAAAAGGAGGCCGGAAAAAGAAGGGCAACAAAAATTTGAGACGTGTGTCTGTCTGTACAAAATTCCACTTGGGGAAAGGATTGTTTCGTTCAGAAAGAAGAGTAAGCGGTGCTGTGGTAAAAGTCTAGTGAAGGCTAGTTGGACATCTCTACTAAACATAGCAACCCTTAACATGAATTTACATAATATGCACATAAGACCCCAGATCATCCCCTCCTATGCAACAGGGTTTTATGGAGGGAAATCTGCACAAGGATCTCCTCATGGAGTTCCCCCTTTTCCCCCAATGGGCAGATCCCTTGGAATTCATTTGGCTCCTGGGAAAAGCACAGAAGGCCCATAGGGGCCCTCTGCCGCTATACTGGCTCGGGCCCCTGGCAGCATGGCTTTGGAGCTGCACTCCCAGGGACTCCTTTGGCCATGGCAATTCCCGGGACCACGGGTGGCGGGGGGGGGGGGGGGGGGGGGCATGTGGAAAAGATAATACAGCTCCAGGTTGTTTAACCTTTTCCTCCTACAGTCCATTGGGACAATCATTTGTCCCTGTCTAAGTCCACTCACCCAGAGACTATGGTAATGGGAACCATAGAAAACCCTGTAACTAAAGAAGTATATTCTCTCTTAAAGGGACACTTGGCATGCATGACAATTTTCTTTGAATAATCCAGCATGGAACTCTGTTGAAGGAACGAGAGCAGATTAGATGAACCACTGATTCCCACCACCACCCCCTCCCCCCCCCCCCCGTATGACATTGCTTAGAGAATATTCTTATTATGGACATTCCCACTAAACACAAAAGACTACTTCACTTTTGGGCAATGGGGTCAGCCCTCCTTCAGGAGGACATAGCCCGATACCCACACCAAGAAAATGTAGGCTGTGGAGAGGAGAGGACTGCATAGAAGAGAACACTACCATCCCATTAATGAAATACAGCACACGTGGGACCAAATTTTGCTCTCAGTTACACTCATAAAATGCACTTGTAGGCAGTGTCCAGGCCATTACACTGATGTAAACTGAGACCAGAAATTGGCCCTTAGTATATTTCTAAAGAGAGATGGGCTGAATCCTTTGGCAAAGTTCCAAATTTTGCAGATCATACCCACCTCTCTGTAAAAACCAAAACAAACAAACAAAACCCACTAAAAATGACCTTAAAGTCTCCTAAAAGTACAGTCTATTGAAGATGCCCTATTGGCATAAAAACCTGTGTTTTCATAGCATATCTTAGATACAGCTTCTCTCTTCAAAACAAAACAATACAAAAAAAATATGTCTGTATCACACAGGTCACAGACTTTTCCTGGCCTTGAGGATATCTGGAACCACTGAGTCGCTCTCCCCATAGCAAATGTTTATTTCATTATATATTTATAGGACTACCCCACAGAACTTAGTTGGCAGCTTGTCATACGTTTGCACATACACATGACATATACAGAAACAGTTTTCAGAACCAGAAAATAATATATATAAACACACAGACATGCACAAACGTACACTTAAAGAGAGAAAAACAAATTGTACACTGTACTCCCATTAATATTTCAGGGGATAAAATAATCTCTGGCTCTGGTGGGAAAAATACTGTTCTCACTCCAATTTGAAAACAAAATAAATATAATATAAAGCAGGGCTGCATAAGGAGATGACCATTGATTTTATACAACCATATTTCAGCCTTGGAGGCACCCAGCAGACATTAGCACTGGAAATATTTCATGTTTCCTCCTCCCTGAATACAACATAATCCAATTTAACATGAATTCACCCAGCATAAACTTGAAGCGTAACGTAATATAAACGAATGGTCTGACAGCCAGCTGAGTACCAATAGGCAACTAAAAAATAAGATTTTGCTTCTAATGTTGCTGCTGTTGTGCCCCTGCAAAAATATAAACCTAGCAGTAGAGAGGCAACTGTGAAACTATTTATAGAGAACAGCAGCTCCATTTTCAGAAGTGCAGCTCTGTTCAATGTAAACAGCTGTTGTGCTGTATGCTGATTTGTGCATAGGAACTCTTATTAATATGGTGCCTACTGATTTCCTGGAAGGTCTTTCAGAAAATAAAGCGACTGTACTGGGTATTTTTAATGATTGTTATGAAACTAATTGTGATTAATAGTTTCTGTGATCAAGTCAATACAATTTTTTATTTATGTGAAAGGGTGGTGGCTGGCATTGAAATCTTGCTGGCTTTCTTTCCCCAGGGAGCACAAGGAGAATCCCTTCTCCCCTTTGCCAAATAATGACAATGTACAATTTAAATGATCATTAAGTGCCCTTTAAAGAAAACGAGCAGGATTGACTGTACACAAAACACTCCCTCTATTGCCAGCTGTTTGGGTCCGTGCTCGCCTGTCGCTCTGTTCTAAACAGAGCTTCAGAGTCCCTAGGAAAAGGACCCTCCCTGCTGGGCAGGGAGTGGGGGAAGATCAGGTATCACAATGCATCCGCTCTGATCCACATGCCCCGCTCCCTCTCGCAGCCTCTGGCTAGCTGTGGCAATACAGCAGCCCCTGCCGGGCACGGGCCACCCCGGAGCCTCAGGCAGGAGCAGCGGGGAGAAAGCAGCATCTTTCCGTGTCACCCCGCGCACCTGCCAAGCTCTCCGGACTGGAGGCTAAGGCCGGGCAGCCCCTGGGGGCGGGAGGGGGGTGGAGTTTCTGGGGAGGAAGGGGACTCAGATCCTGTGGGGAAGGGAGAGGCGGGGGCTAACCAGGCACTGAAATCTGGTGCCTCTGGCGGGACTGGCCACTTACCTGTGCAGCCATGAAGGAAAGGTCCATGGTGCTGCTGCTGGTGGTGCTGCTGCTGGAGAGGCTGCTGCTGCTGCCCGGGGTCGGCAGGTCCCTGTGGCGCTGCGGAGGAGGAGGAGGAGGGAGCTGGTCCTCCCCCAGCAGCAGCCGCGGGCGCGTTAGCAGTTCCAGCTCAGTGCGATCGCGGCGCCCCGGCAGCAGCCCGGCTCCCCGCAGCCTCCTCGCATGGTCTGCGCGGGCAGCGGCTCAGGCAGCGGCAGCTCCCAGCGCAGCAGCCGCCGAGCCAGCCCGTGCTGTCATGTGATCCCCCCACCCCTCCCCGCTCCCCGCCTGCTGCTCGGGCAAAGCCCCGCAGCCCTGCCCGGGCTCTCCCTCGCCTGCTCAGGGGACAAGCCCGCTCTGCTGCCAGCCGCAACGGGGCCGCGCAAGCCTGGCTGAGCCTGTCACAGCGATTAGCTGCGTGCGGCGCCTGCTCTTCGGGCCTTCCCCGCTCCAATCCACTGCCGCCCTTGGACAGACATTGCGCCTTCCCTGGCCCCGCTGGGCCACCAGCGCATTGCCACTGGCTTCACCCCACTTACTCCTGCCAGGGCAGCGGGAACCAGGCTCACTGTGGGCAGGTCTTCACTACGGGGGGGTCGATTTAAGATATGCAAATTCAGCTACGCGAATAGAGTAGCTGAATTCGACATATCGGAGCCGACTTACCCCCCTGTGAGGACGGCGGCAAAATCGACCTCCGCGGCGCCCAGTCGACGGCGCTTACTCCCACCTCCGCTGGTGGAGTAAGAGTGTCCATTCGGGGATCGATTGTCGCGTCCCAACTAGACGCGATAATTCGATCCCCGAGAGATCGATTTCTACCCGCCGATTCAGGCGGGTAGTGTAGACCTAGCCTGTGTCAGACACAGGCAAGCCTTCAAACCTGGGGCGAGGGGATGTACTGGCCTCTAAGGGGACCCCCCACTAAAAAGACCACTCCCAGAGAAGACTACTAGTGCATGCAAAGCCTAACACTTTTAGGCCTGAAGGGAAGGGCAAGGCCTCTGGCTTGGGGGAGACCAAGACCTCAACTTTGCTTGAAGTGGCATCCCTCTCTTTCCCTATCCAGGAACAATCAACCCCTGAACGCTACATTGATTAAAAACTACCCATCACTCCCCTGTGTTGTACTGTAGGGTAATGGTGATAACTATCAGGGTGCAAGCTTGCTTTTCTGCCAGTGTTTGAGATGCTAATACAATTAGTTATGATATTAGAGGCTGGTTTGGTAGACCATAAGGTTGCCTGACACTTCCCATCATAAGACCCTGTTTTCAGTTGCTTATAACTTTGCCACACTTATTTGGACTAAAAATTTCCATGCTGGATTCTGCCTCGGGCTGAAATATTAGTGGAAAATTTCAGCCCAAATGTTCCAGCTGTTTCTAAGAAGGAGGCTAGGGAAAAAATATTAAAAAATTGAGACCTTGCCTCTGAAATGCTCTAATACCCCCCTTGCTTTGGAGCGGAGACTTGAAATTGGGCAGGTGGATAGTTTAGTGTCAGGGATAATTTTCATCTCCATGAAAATCCACCCAAATTTGGCTGAGATATAAGCCTTTGAAAAAAAATCACAATTTGCACATGCTTGGTAGAGACGTTCTGGAGCTTAACAACTAAAATCTCAGAAGTTTCCAGACTGCGCCTGCCTGATCCCCACAGAGCGATTAAGCATATTTCAGCCCAGGAGTACAGGCACTCAGAAGAACTATCCCTGTTATGTCTGCACCCAGCGAGATTGGCTAGGCACTAGGACTAGGCCACTCACACGTTCCTGTAATATAAGACATTCCGGTACTTATGAGACTGGCATGAGCCCCCACCATACATGCAAGGTCATGCTGGTGTGTATGAAGTCACATTGCAACAGGGCGCCATTTTTAAGAACATGCTACCCCACCCCCACTGGCATGACCTCGTTAAAAAAAAAAAAATCACAAACTCCTGTCTGATACCAGACAAAACTATGTCTGGAGAGACTGGCAATTGTGGAAGAGAGGCTGGAACTGGTTGGGTGGAGAGACTGGAACTTGGAGCTGGGTGGGAGGGGAGGCAAGGGCTAATTAGACAAGGAGACTGGGAGTGGGAGCTGGCAAGGGAATGGGGGATGACTGGGCACCAGCCAATTGAAGGTGGACACAGATCGGGATGAGGAGCTGGGAGGAGGAAGGAGACTGGGACTGGCTGGAGAAGGAGAAGGTGACAAGGAAAGACAAAACTGACAAGGAGCTGGGATGCAGGTAGAGAAGTAGGACTGGTTAGTGAAGAAGCTGGGGTAAGTAAGCAGGGAGGGGAAAGAGAGGAGACAGACTGGAAGAGGAGTGTGAAGGGAGAATGAGTGGGAACTAGTGGGGTTGGGGAAAACATTTCAGGTGGAAGCCAGGAAGGGGGAACTGGGACTGGCTGGGCAAGGAGACTGAGATTGGGGCGGGGAGTGATTTGGAAGCAAGGACAGTGGAGGACTGGAGCTTGGACAGTGAGCCCAGATGGGTAAGGACTGGCTGGGTAAGAAAAATTAGGTTAAGGTTTGAGTGCCAAAAATTAAACTTGCCTGTGCTACCTTAATTCAGCCTCCTTGTGTGTATGCATTATGATGGTACTGAGTGTGGGGGTGTGTGCTGGATTCTGTAGAACTCCCAGTAAGACAGGGCCAGACCAATTAACAGGATAAGGAATAAGAGTTTCCAGTTTGCCTGCATTTCATTCACAGAGCCTTATATTACATCGTACCAATCCATCCCTGTTCACGGAGGAACTTGACTGCTGTAAACTTGCCTCCCTCAAGTCTATCCAAAATGCTGCTGAGGTTATCTTCCTGGCTCCTCACTCTGGCCACATAACCCCTCCCTTTGCATCACTGCATTGGTTCCCTCTGCTCTACCACATCACATCTTTAAGCCCCTCCATGACTTAGCCCCACCTTACCTAGCCACTCTAATTCATCATGACATCTACTGGTGCCCTCACTCCCCACGCATTACCAGCCTTTACCACTCAATAGGCAGCTTCATCCTCAAACATCTTCACACCTTTTCTTATGCTGTCCTTTACACATGGGGGGAAAATCGCCCGTACAGCTGCTATTTTATCCACTTTTAGATCCCTCCTGAAGTCTCACCTCTGCTGAGATGCCTTAAAAACCTTGCCCATTGGCCATCATTAGATGGGTAGAAAGCAGACATGCCAAACCCATGAAAAAAATGCAGAAATTGGGCTTGTTTTTGGCTTAATTGGCTTGTGAGTTGCTTGTTGGGTAGTTTTTGGCTTGTAGCTTGTTGCTTGTTTGGCTTGTAGCTTTTTCTTTTTTTTTGATCAGCTCCCAGCAAGTGGGGGCAAGGGGGGGGAGAGAGTCATGGGTGCACAGCGGGCCCACCATGATCCCAGACTGTACGCCTGGGGGGATCTAGTCACATAGAGTGTTGGGGTTCTTAGGGATTGGCTTGTTTTGGCCTTGTTTTGAAATGGGATTAGCTTGATTTTTGGTTATTGTGAAAGTCGGGATGCTTATTTACCGCGTGAAAGCTGGCAACTGTGGTAGAAAGCTGCAACTACTGCTCACTATGCTAGACTTATTTGTATTGCTGTTACCTCATCCTGCCCCTGCCACACATCTGTTTGTTTCATCCATGTTGCAACAGCTTCAAGATTTTAAGCTATTTGGGGCTGGAGCTGGGTTTTTATTGCTTCATGTTTGTACAGAGCCTAACACAATGTGGCCCTGATCATGGCTTCTAGATGCTACTATGATACAAATAATAAAGTAAGAGCATATTAATGGCAGCAGTATCTAGAGAATCAGCTTTACCCTGATCCTATCCACTAGGGTTTTAAACTATGTTTCCCCCCCTCCAATCAGTAGACACATCTTATACAAATTTTTTCAATATAATTATGTACAGTTTTGCAGAGGGTGACAATGGAAAGATGATGATGTATTAAAAAAATCAATTCTCAGTTACTTGAATGACTTTGTTTGTGTCCCTGCCAAACATTCTCCTACATGTCAAGATTCCCATTAACTGAAGAAAAAAAAAAAAAAAAAAACCACAACAGAATCTAAATGAGGCTCTCTCATTTTAAGATTTTAAATTAGATTCTATGAATAATGGAATTGTCTCACTTTGGGAAGTCCTCCAAAGTCTTAAAAGGTTTAAAAGGTTATTGACACATGCATCACAAGCCATAAGGTAATTTCAAAGCAGTTGCAATAATTAATTGTCTAGAGATGAACTTTGCATGCATTTATAGCCATCGCTGTGAGTGTAATAGGGTCATTTGGCTCCCTCCACAATAAAAGCTATAGCAGTATCACTTCAGTAGGAAAATAAAGTAGCAAGGGCCCTGATACTGCAATTACTTACACACTTGCTTACCTTTATGCACTTTCAGCAATCTAATTGAAGTCAATAAGCTACTCACAGTGCATAAGATTAGGCATGTGCTTAAGTCTCTTCAGAACTGGGGCCTAAAGGAGGATATTATTTGATCTGTGCATTAAGAGCTTTGCAGGGGCATGGCTCTGGCACTGACATTCAGCCTATCTCTGCATTAATCTTGTGAAAGATGGCCAGAAATATGCAGGAAGGAAGGAATATAGCTTAACCTGTGGTTTTCTCTCCAGTTTTGATTTTGGAAAGGTGCAGTGAATTTCCCGCAGGTTTATTGGAAAATCAAATGATGTTTAGGTGGTTAACGGGCAGTCGTTCAATCTGCTCATTAAGGTCTGAGGGGTTGGGTTTTTATTGTCCCCTGTGCTCCCCCCACTCCCCAGTGGTGTAGGACTAGCATATTAGAGCCAAGTTTGTGATTTAGCTCAAGCATCAAACTGCTGATATTCTCTTATTCGTTGTAGTCTTGAGTCACAAGAAACGTGTCCAACTCCTGAATTCCACTGCAGACCTACGTAACTTAAGGTCAGGGAGAATACAGCTGGAATAGCACAATACGCAACACGTTAATTAACAGTTACAATAGTTCAAAGGCCAAAGGCCTATGAAGGAATGTCATACAACAGAGAAAGGCACAAACTCAAGCAAAAGGAAATCAAGGTGACAGTGTCCGGTTTTGTGCAGTACTGATGAGAGAGTCTACTGGGCCAATGGCCCAGACCCTAGAGTGGTCTTCCATTTGGAATCAAGTTTCAAAATTTTC